CTGTGCAGGCGGGGCCCCAGCCTGGGAGGAGGCGCCGGGCTCCCGAGTGAATGAAGCCGCCTCCTCCAGGGAAAACCTGATGGGTGTCCGTGGTGGGATGACAAATGGCCCTCCTCCCTCCACCCTGCAGAGCCGGGCTCCGGGTTGTGATTCCTGGCCAAGGCTCCATCTTCTCCCACAGAAACTGCTCTTGCTGTGGGGAGCGGATGGTGGGAACAAAGAACCCCTACCTGGGGATTCTGGGGCCAGGAAGGGGACACTGTTTGAGGCTGAGGAGCACCTTCCTTTTTCAAGGCCCCCGCCCTGCCAGAGCCTCTGTCTGCTAGATTCCATCAATGACACTGGTTTTAAACTGGGCCTGAGATTTCCTCTTAATGGATGAAGGCAGTAGAGAAAAACCAAGCCCACCATTTCCACCCGAATGATAGCCCTGCTGCCTGTGGGTCACGTCAAATCCGAACAGAGCAGGCTGGAAATGTGAGCTGCGTGGTCCTGGGCTATGCGGATGTAAATCCCTCCACCCCTCAGCCACAGGGCCATTTCAGGTGCTTCTGGGCATGGACTGCGATGGCCATAGGGGCCAGACAATGGACTATGGCGGCCGGTGGCACAAGGCCCTCTATACCTAATTTTATAGTTTTCTACTTTTTATAAAGGCACAGACACAAAGATGTTTCTTTCCTCCAAAGCAGAGGTTCTCAAGCTCTGGTTGCATCAACACCACCTGGCCGGCTTCCTGAAACCCAGATGGCTGGTCCGCTCCCAGGGTTTCTGGTTCAGCCCAGGAGTGAGGCCGGAGAATTGGTGTCTCTAGCAAGTTCTTGTGATGCTGCAGCTGCTCTCTGCTCTGGGAACCAGGGCTCTAAGGGAGGGACCCACAGCGCACACAAACCGCCACTGATCCTCGACTCTGGAGGAGGGGGGACAGTGACGGGAAACTGGAGAACGTCCCATCTAAAGGGAGCCACCGCGACACTGTCCCGGGGATCCGCACGGCACAGGAAAAAACAGGCAGCCAAGAGTTTTCAGCAATCTTGACTTTTTTTGGTAAGAACAGCCAGAAATATGAATTTTTCTATGAAATCTTACAATTTGGGGCTATCATTGGCAACTGTCTGAAATTTTTCAAACATTGTGCAGGTCAAACGAAACACATGCGTAGGCCGATTTCACCTCTGGCTGGGAACTGTGTGTGTGTTCCCGTGGAGAAGAGGCGGGAGCAGACATCTCTGAGCCAGTGAGCCTCGGGACCCGTTGGGGAGGGATGTCACCCTGACCTTGCCTCTCCCAGCAAGGGCTCCCTGTGGCCTGTCAGGGCCACAACTAGCTCCCTGCCAGGTCCTCATCACCTCCTCTTCCCTGGCCATATTCTGCACTCCAGCCACGCTGAAGTCTTCGCAGACTGCACCTCTCACCTCCAGGAGCCACCTCCCAACCAGGACTTTTCTGACCTCTGGGCCTTTGTGCACATGGTTCCCCCAGTCTGGAATGCTCTTATCCCTTCTCCACATCTGCCCTAATTCGTACTTGTCCTTCAAGGCCCTGCTCAGCTGTGACCTCCCCTGGGGAACCTTCCATGACCACTGCTCCCCGCTCCTGCCCTGCTGAGCTTCCACCATTACACTGGGCTGTACCCGTCTGAAGACATGTCTGTCTCCTCCACCGGCCTGGGTGCTCCAGGAGGCCCTGCTGCCTCTGTGTCCGCAGGGCTGAGCCCAGGGCCTGGTGGGACAGGTCTGAAACAGCATTTATCAAGCGCTGTTCTCTTGGCCTTGGCCTTGGCCTTGGCCTTGCTCTCATCCCCTTTCTGTTTGGCTACTTCCTGTCTATCCTTCAAGCCCCAGCGCAGACTCCACTTCCTGTGAGAACTTTCCCTGACCTGGGAGGGGCCATCCTCTGCCTGTCCTCCGTCCCTCAGCACACCATCACCAAACTACTGGCTGCTCTGGTCTGCCTCTCCCACCACACTGAACTCCAGGAGGGCAGGAAGCTTGCACGATGCATTTCAGTAACATGGGGGCTGCAAAGACAGAGTGGGCCCCTGGAAATGCCTGTAGGACTAAGAGAGGAATGAACAAAACGGGTGAACGAATGATCCCAGGTGAGAAATGAGACCCTGGTAATGTGCTAGGAAGAACAAGTTAGAACGACGCCAGCCTGATGCTGAGGACAACCCGCCTCCTCTGGCCCCTGCTCCTAGCAGTGTGTGCAGAGCACGAGAGCAGCAGTGGTGACCCAGCAGCCACCTCGCCAGGACCCAGGCCCTAGAGACCTCAGCCAGCGCGGCCCCTTGGCCTGCAGCTCCCCTGTTCACAAGCCTCAGGCGGCATAGCTGCTCTAATTCTACGACCCTAGACCCTCCCCAGCCACACTCCAGAGGAGGCCCACCATCCAGCAGGGCAGCCCGAGGGAAAGGCTTCTCTGCAAGGCAGGGGCCAAGGGAAGGCCCAGCAGAGGGGCCGTCCCTCCGCCAACAGCCAACAGCAAGGTGAGTGAGTGGCTGTCTGCTTGGGACGGGGTTGCCCCGAGTCCTTAGACAGCAGAGGTGACCATGAATCCTGCCCAGTTTCATGCAGGCTGCCCAGCTGCTGGGCTCCCTGAGCAGCTCACCTACCTGTCCTAATGCTGGGTTGAGAGAAGGTAGCCACATGCCACTTCCTTTGTGTCCCAAACCCACCCTGCCACCCCCTTTCTTTACAATTAAGTGCAGGGGTCACCTCCTCCAGGACTCCTTCTGGGATCCCTCTTCTGGGTGCTCACTTTTGTCACCACTGATCTCACTCTGTTCTGACTGTGTGTGTGTCTCCACCACAAAGACTGTGAGTTCCTGGGCGTCAGGGACTGGGACCTGCTCCGCTGTGTCCCTGCGCCTGGTGCCGCGATCAGCACGAGAGGAAAGCGGCAGATGTGGTGCAGTGATTAATGTAATGGCCGGGACTCTGGGGCCGACAGACCAAGTTCAGATCCTCCCTCTGCCACCTACTCAGTGTCCCCAAGGTCCCACAACAAGAAATTCTGCCTCAGTTTTCTTATCTGTAAATGGGGTTGAAATGGTATTGTGAAGCCTGAGTTAAAATACAATGTGACCAGTGAAACAGCATTTACCAAGCGCTGTTCTCTTGGCCTTGGCCTTGCTCTCATCCCCTTTCTGTTTGGCTACTTCCTGTCTATCCTTCAAGCCCCAGGGCAGACTCCACTTCCTGTGAGAACTTTCCCTGACCTGGGAGGGGCCATCCTCTGCCTGTCCTCCGTGTCCCCCCCCCCCCACCCCCCGTGCACAGTGAGCACCTGATGAGGGTGAGCCAGTATCACTAGCTGAGCAGAGATGTCCCGAAAGAGCCGAGATGATTAGCCAAGTACTAGCCAGCACATTCCAGAGGCTGCAGTGACCCCAAATAGACATGTCTGAAGTACTCTGTGAGCACCCCCCGAGGGAGCTGGGGACAAGGATCACGGTGCAGTTCCATGCAGTAGGTCGGGCTTGGAAAGGCAGGCCCCTCCTCACGGAGCCAGAGCCTGTCTGAAGGTGTCCTTTCCCACTGGAGCCTCTGGGCAGATACGAGGCCAGGGCCTTTTAAAGGCACAGCCTGACATTTCCCTACAACAATAGTGTTTTCTCCCACTAGTGGCCTCTCCAAGGACAGTCCCTGCTGGCCACCCCCTCTCCCACCATCATTCCAAACTCGAACTCCTGACCATCTTCAGATGAAGCAACAATGTGTGTGTGTTTGTGTGTGTGTGAGGCCTCGGGGCCTGGGGCTCCTTACTCCCAGACACCAGCACTCCTTCAGCCACAGTCCTAACAAACCTCAGCCATCTGGTTTCTGCAAAGGCTACCAGCAGAGAGGGCCCTGGCTTCAAAGTCCAAAGGCCCAGGGTTCAAATCCTCTCTCTTGCCAGTCTCTCCCCGCTGGAGCCTCAGTTATTTCATAACATGGGGTCACTAATCCTGCCCCCCTGGGCTGTGGGGTAAAAGAACTGGCACAGCACAGGGCAGACAGCTAACCCTCCGTACAGAGGGGGAGAGGAAGACAGGAGGGAAGGGGGAGGGGAAGGCGAGGCCCTCATCCTAAGCTAGGTGGCTCCCTGGGGGAGAGCTTAAACCAGCTGTGGATCCAAGACTGGGAAAGGGAGACCAGGGGCACCCTGACCTCCCAGCGACCTGAGAACGCTGACGAGGCCTGGGCTGACCTTCCGGAGTCTGCTGTGGCAGCGCTAATTGGGGTCTCCCGGTCACCAGCTTCCCACCCTGGGGGCAGGAGGCTCCCTCCCCTTCCCCCCTCCCCAGCTGCCAGCGGGGGGGGGATGCAGGCACTGACCTCCTGAGGGGGTGTTGGCTGCGAGGTTCAAAGGAAGCTCGGAGGGCAAAGGAGGAGGGGGGGACGGGGGAGGGGGGATGGCCAGAAGCCAAAGCCCAGTTTTGGAAGGAGGAGGGGCAGGTCAGAAGGCTTGCGCCAGGGCCAGGGGTCACGTGCCTGCTGCTTCCTAGAGTGGCTTCCCACTGGGTCCTGTAGGAAGCTTACACTTCAGAGGGGCTCCCTGGTTTCTGCTTTCTTTCCTCCCTTCCTTCTCTCCTTCCTCCACCAGGCCAGCCCTTGCCTGAATTCCGGCCCGGCCCCTCCCTAGCTGTGCTACTCGGGGGCATGCTGGTTCGTCTCTTTGAGACTGTTTCCTCATCTGTAAAATGGGTGTACTCATACCTCCCTCAAAGGCGGCTGTGGGATTAGGTGAAGTCAAATGTCTAAAGCCCCTGGCTGGCTGGGTGCCCAGACACAGCCGAGAATCAACTAACCGCAGCTTTCATAACTCTTACCATCCGGTTAGGATGGGGGGGGGGGGGCGTGCTTCATGAGTCAGTGCTGCCTACCTTGGGGGCTGGGAGTGCCAGGATCTCTGGTGCCCAAGCACACAAGGGCCCTTGCGCCCCACTCAAATGAACTAGCTTAGCCTTTGGGTAGGCCCCCTGGGCAAGAGATGCCCGGATGTACACAAAACCTCACCATGCACTTGCGGTCATCTATGCCCGTCAGATCCTCCTCAAACTCCTTCCCAACCTGGAAGTCCATGATGTAGTTCCTAAAAGTGCTCAGCGTTCGGATGATCATATGGTCGCCGTCCTGCACGATCTCTTTGTCTGGCTTCAGCAAGTTGGCGATTTTGCGTAGTGCCACATTGACATCTGTAGGATGGCGGGGGCAGAGAGTTGGCCGAAAAACTCAGAGAATTGTTCCCAAAGTAGCCGGGGCCCCAGTTTTCCCCACCCTCCCCGGGGAAAACAGCTGGGGTTCCCTGCTCGCTTAGCGCTGTCTGCGCGCAGCCGGTCTGTGTCTTTTTCTTTTCTTTCTGTTTTTGCAACAAAGTTTTTTGCCTTTATTCTAACCCTGCAAAAACTAAAGCTAGTAAACCAAAACCTGCTTTCCTAATGAAACTACCCGCGTCTGGAGCCAACTATCAGACGTTTGCCACCAATTAACCCTAACAACCCCGATATCCAGGTCGCAGGCTGCCGGCCGCTCTCAGAGCCACGGCGCCGGCCGCCCTTCCTGCGGCCCGGGGGCCCGGGGCGGCGCTCGCCCGGGCGGAGGCAGGCGACAGCGGATCCGGAGGCTTGGGGGGTCCCCACGCCCCCGCCACCAGTGGCTCGCCCCGGGCGCAGGGCGGTGGGCAGCGCTTACCGAGCGCGCGCAGATACTCCTCGAAATTCTCGTTGGCCAGCATCTTCCAGTACCCGGTGAAGTCGACCGGCATTTCGTGGGGCGACTGGGGCGAGACGGCCACGGAGCGGCGGGAGCAGCGTCGGCTGTGCTGGGGCAGCGGCTGCCGAGGCGGGCGGGCTGGTGGGCGGCCCGGAAATGCGCGCCTTCCCGGGCCAGGGGGCTGCGTGGGGCGGCGACAGCTGGATGCCGAGCGCGCACAAAGCCCGCGGGAGGATCCCCGGGAGCCCTCGCTCCTCCCCTCCGTGCGGGCGGGGCGGGCCCCCGGAGGGCCAGGTTCGCCCCGGGCCCGCGGCCGCCTCCATTCGGACCTTCAGTTCGCTTCCTCGGGAAGGAAGTGCAGATGCGGGGTTTGCTGTACGGGCCCCAACTCTTCGGTTCCTGCGGGATTCCTTCAAACACCACGAACTTCTCACATTCGGCGGCCATTTGAGGGTCGGGCAAGTCCCTCGGGGTTTGCTGGAGGGATTAGGGAACGAGCACCTCCAGGCCTTTGTCCGAAGCCCCGCGCGGTGGGTGGCCAGGGTGGGGAAAGCAGTTCAGCTCGGGAGGAAAGTGGGGCACTCTCCACATCCCTCCCCCAAAGAGAAGCAAGAGTTCTGCTGTTTGGAGTGAGTACGCTACAGGGCCCTCGGCGGTCCTGATGCACACTCGAGTGTGAGACCCGCTGCTCAGGGCAGATGTCAGCAATTAGCAACACACCGCTGCTTGTCCCTCCTCTCACCCATCGGCAGCAAGTGCTCCAAAGTGTTCTGCACTTCGCTTTTTTCACTTAGTATAATCTGGGGACCTTTCCACATCTGTGCGTGGAGAGAACCCTCATTCTTTTGCAGGATATTCCATTGTTTATCCAGCTTGTCCCCACGGCTGGACGTTGATGTTTCCGATCCCCTCCTATTAGAAACAGCACGCAACGCAGGTCTTTGATCGGTCCTATCTCCCACCTGGTGCGTATGTCATTGTGCTTTAAAACCGCTCTCTGCCAGCGAGGAGATGACATGATCATGTGGGTTGACTTTTTGACTCTCTATTAAAGACTAAATACCTCTTTCAAATTGCTTTTTGTACAAATCACAGCCTGGGTGACAGCTGGTTTGTCCTCCTCCCCTCCAGCACAAACCACCCCCTCCTCCCCCAACCTTCTCACTCACAGGACAGCTAGCTGAGTTAGAAAAGAGCCTCCTCCTGGGGCAGAGGTGCTTCCCCCAGGGAGTGGCTTGCATTTCAGCCCTTTTAACCCCCTTGTGCTGTGCCAGGCTTTCTCAGTCTCTGCACTGTTGACATTTTGGGCCAGATCATTCTTTGTTGTGGGGGGCTGTTCTACGTAGTGTAGGGCGTTTAACAGCATCCCTGGCTTCTCCCCACTAGATCCCAATGGCACCTCCCACAAAGATGTCTCCAGACCTTGCAAATGCCCCTGGGAGGGGGCGGAATGACCCCTGGTTGAGAGCCACTGCTTTAGACAGCTGTGCCCCTATCAGGCCAGTTTCCCCTCTCGTCTCCCCTGGCTCTGGATGCTCAGGCCATCAGTTGTTCACACAGGCCCTGGCTCTGCATCCCTCCCTAGCTGGCCCAGGGCAAGTCTCAGTGGGACAGCCCAGGGAAAGGACAGCTCTTCCGGCCTGAAGGTGCACAAAGAAACCCCCTGGGCTCAGGCAGGTCGACCAGTGGGGCCCGGCCTTGCTTGCGCTTTCTAAGACATCTAAGCAAGGCCAGCCACGGCCTGGGCTTCCTTGTCGGCCTGACTCACCAGAAAGGAGGATCAGCCAAAGGTGTACACAGTGAACCGGCCATTCCTCGCTCACCCCTGAGTCTAACCTCCTCTCCCTGCTCCCCTGCACCATCCAGTGCAGCCAACTGGATTTTCCCCCTCCCCAACCTTCTCCCTTTGTGCTGAGTCTCCTGAGATTGTTTGTCCCAAATGCCCAGCAAAGTGCCTGGCAGACAGAGGCCCAGTCAGTTCTGGCCATGCCCAGACTCATCCCTTTGTGCTGTAGGCCCCTCCCTCCCTCTCCGGTCCTCCCCTGTCCATCCCACAGAACCAAGACCTGGCCACTCCTCCCTCCTCTTGCCCTTTGGACGCCTCCTGCTAACCTGACCTCACTCTTCTGAGCTGGCCGGCTGGGCACGTGGCACTTAATTCAGCCTGGTTTTGCCTGGTTCCCGTCGGCCTTTGTCTAGTCTCCCGTGGGTCAGTAGACTCCCGCCCTTCTGGGTCCTCCAGGGCTTGTGAGGACAGGCTCTGGAGGCAGCTCACTTGGTTTGGAGCAGGCTGTGTCACCGCTAGCTGAGTGATCCCTTCTGTGCCTCAGTCCCCACATCTGTAAGATGGGACACTCTCACTACTCACTTCTCAAGGGGTGAGAAGCGAAGGAGATAAGGGGTACCAAGGGCGTGGCACAGGATTGCGCTCCAGAGGCCCCGCTGTGTGTGCTGCAGAGAGGGAAAAGACAAGGGAGAGAGGGTGCGCCTGTGCCCCTGCTGGGGCCTGAGGATTAGCCCAGTGAGGCGCAGTGAAAAGCGCTCTGTGGACGTGTCGTGGAGCATTAGGTGTCATCACGGTTATCCTTCCTCAGCCCACTCCGTCAGGCTTGATTTTGTCCATCAGTCAGTGGTTTTTGGAGCTCCTTTCTGTCTGGGTGATATCACCTGGGATGTGTGAGCAGAGAGAACTGAGGACAGTGTGTGTAGAAGGGAGAGGGGATCTGGTGGGGCTGGCAATCGGTGAGGACTCCCCGGAGGGGCTGAGGCTCAAGATGGATCTTGAGGACAGCCAGGATCAGAGAGGCCAGGAGGAGGGAAGGACAGGCCAGGGGAGGGAGATGGGTGAGCAAAGGAAGATGAGGAAGGGCAGAACTGCCAATGGCTGGGAGAGGGGGGTAGACGCTCCAGGACGGCCCAACCGCCTCAGAGAAGAGCCGCAGAGACTGGAGATGATGACCAATCCCAAAGAGCCACCAAGACCACCAAGAAGGGTCCAGGCCAGTGGGGAACCACCCTGAGCCTACGTGTACACAGCAAGATTGACAGCCACAGCGGGCAATCCTGGGGTACGGGAGGCAGGACAGGAGAGAGCCACGGGCCCCAGGGTGGGCTCCTGGGGGACAGGAGAGCTCGGAGGAGCTCCAGAGGAAGTGCCTTTTCATTCTTTAGCTTATCAGTGTGCTCCGTGGGGGTAAATCAGAGCTCAGGGAACCATCTCCATGAAATGATTCCTCCATTGCCCGTGATCCAGACAATCGCCTGGTGAGGTGGGCAGTCCCATCCCCATATCACTGGAGGTCAAGCAGCTTGCCTAGTGGCCCCAGTCTGACATCACATTCCTGCTTCTCTTCTCAAGGGCTCATTTTATTTTGGAGCCTTGTAAAATCTTCTCTTTTCCTGTGTTCAAATACGTCTCTGGAGTTATGTTATGGAAAACGACCCTGCTCCAATCCCTGAGCTGTCACCGTGCCATCTGTGAGGTTAATGTTCGAAAGGATGAGCGTGGCCCACCAAAGCTGCTTTCCTATGTCCACAGTGTTCGGGAGCGAGAGGGCTGGTCATGAGGCCACAGGGCTGAGGGGCACCAAGGTCTACTGAGGATGCTTTTCTTTGATGGGCTCATGAATATGCAAATGTGAAAATGACACACCAAGTCTGCAAGCTCCAGAATCTTAAATCCACTTTGGGGGAGTGGCCTGGGGATTTAGTTATGTCTAGAAAAGGTTCTGCAGAGTGGGTCAGCTACCTTTCATGCACACCTGACAATTGTGTCTACAGATTGTGACATACACTGCACCCTTCTTCTTTCCTTCCTTCCTGCCTTCCTTCTTTCCTCCCTCTCTTGCTCCCTCCCTTCCTTCTCTCTCATTCTTTCTTGCTTTCCTAACCATTTTATTACGGAAAATTTTAAACCTACATAACCATAGAGAGAACTGTATGTTGAACTCCCACGGATTCATCATCAGCTTTGACAATGATCAACCCAGGGCCAATCTTGTTTCATCTATAGCCCCGCCCACCCCCCATTTCCAAAATTATTTTGAGACAAATATCAGAAATCACATCATTTTATCTGGAAACATTTCAAGAAGTATCTCTAAAAGACTAAGACTTGTTAAAAAAAATCACAACTAAAAAAATATTAATTCCTTAATATCATCAAATATCCAGAAAGTACTCAATTATCTCATAATTTTCTTTTCAGTTTGTTTGTTTGAATCAGGATCCAAGCACGTATCATACATTGCCATGGTTGATATAGCTCTTATTTTATGGTTTATCCTTTCATTAAAAAATATAAATATAAATATATTAAAAGTCTTACATTCCCTTTCTTAGATAAATGGTAGCATGTTATATACTTTTTAGCCTAATGAAACATCTGAAACATCACTCACAGGAACACAGGGAGAGCTCCCTCCTGCTCTTTTTGGGGGCGTAGTGCTGCATCGTGTGGACGTACCACAGCTCACTGCACCAGTCCCCTGCTGATGGACACGTGGGTCGTTTCCAGTCTTTTGCTGTAACAAATAGTGCTGCAATGAGCAGGTTAAGTCTTTTTATATTTTTGAAAGTGTATCTTTGGGACAGATTCCTGGAGGTGGGATTGCTATGTCAAAGGGCAAATGCTTACTGTCCTTTTGATAGATATTGCCAAGTCTCCCTTCCTAGGGTTGTACCATTTCACCTTCCCAGCCACAATGCATGATTGTGTCTGTTTCCTCACTAACAGATTATGTTGTCAAACTCTTGGATTTTTGTTAGGTGAAAAAGGGTATCTCAGGGTAGTTTGCATTTGCATTTGGGGAGGGTTTCGATACCAAGAAGTGAGCAGTCATTTTCTTACTTAGCCAGGCTTATAAAAGCCCCAGTCTGTACATGTGAATCCCCTCTGTACGTGTGAATGACTGTCAGAATGGGGTAGAACTGCTGAGCACAGATATGACTTCCGGGTTTGTCTTATTAAATTGTGTTTATCAACTCCATCTGCAGTCCTTATTCCTGCCAGTTACTCAGGTGAATGACAGCTCGATGTAACACGCTACCAGAAATGGCATTCCAGGCACAGGGCTTCAAGAAGAGCAGGGTCTCCCAGGGTCTGGGAAGATGGGAGGTACCCCACATGGGCAGCCGTGTCTGTCCACCATCTTGGAAGGCTTCCCACTGACTCAGGCCAGGGCCCAGTTTTAGGGAGGGGGGTCACTTTTCACATGGCTTCCTGCTATTCCAGCCAGAGTGCGGTGTGGTGGCTCCCCTGGGTTACTGCTAGATGGCTAGAGCACTTGGAAAAGGTGGTACAGAAGGCGAGAACTGGCAAGGATCTTGCCCACAGTGAGGACATGGTCCAGTGGGCAGATCCAGGACACTGAGTGAGGAGATGCTGTTGGTCATGACAGTTTTGTGAAGAACAGAACACCCTCTACTTTATCTACCCCTGCCCATCTCCCTGGTCTAACATC